CCAATATTTTTTAAGTTTTAGTATTTTTTTAATAATATAGTTATTTTTTTATTCTAAAAAATATAATTTTTGCTTAAAAATCATTTAAAATTTCACTAATTTCCTCACTCAATTTCTAATCTCGACTCTCTCATGATTTTATTAGTTCTACCACATGGTGAAATTACTAGTCTAAGGGGATAGTTAATCCCCGACTCATGTCTCCAGCCAAATACTTAGGTGAGTCTTATCGACTATTAGTTCAATCTCCCTTCTTAAAGAGCCAAACAAACATGGCCTTGGAGTGTTAATCACATCACAACCTTCCACAACCAAACAACTCTCTATGTGGCCCTCCCTCGAATTAGTCTAATCTCCTCACTAATAGAGCCAAACAAGCATGACCTATAGGTAGGTCCGACAGAAATGCGCGTGTTCTTTGGATTATATATATGTGGACTATTTGGACATACTTCTATCTCTTCTAATTTTCGAGTTCGATATTTTCATAGTATAAATGATGAGCGATGCTACTAAATTTGATTTTGTCTGAATTGTTTGAATTTGTTGATGTCTGTAATTTGATTGGTCATCGGGTCGATCGTTCGGATGACTAGGTGATGACTGTAGTAGATGAGAGTAAAGCCAATCGTCTGGTTGACACAAATTTAGGTGATTTGGGCCACAACAAATTTGATGGATAAATCATTTCACTATAAATGATATAATAATGTGAATATTATACAATATCTCATTGATTTTGTAATATCATATTATTGTGTGAACAAATTTAAATTCCAATTGACACAAAATATTTTGTATCCAAATTTCTTATTTTTTGTACGCACTAACAGCTGTACGATTATGACTCAAAATGTCTGTGTTATGACATTTAAATGCTTGTGAGTACACTAGATACACAAAAAAAAATAAAAAAAAATTATTTATGGAGATCCATGACTTATAACCCCAATTGTGAACTCTTGGTAATATTATAATCAACATTGTATAAATAAGTTTTGAATTCTCAACCTAAGTTTCTTTCTAGATGGTGTCCCGTCTCTTGAGACCTTCTTGTTGGTCTATTTGTACCCTACAAAAATGTCCGCTCATTTCCTAAAGTTACGTGCGTATATATTATTTATGAAAAAAATTCAATTGATTAGATCATCATAATTATATGATTTATCATCAAATAAATTAACAAGCATGATTTTGAAAATATATTACAAAATAATTAAGATGAAATTAAAATTTTGTAATTACAATTATCAAATCAATTTTTATTTTTTTTCATGAATGTTTTAGAGACAGATTTAAAAGATGAACGGATCATATTATTAAATTAAGCCTTGTAGTTGGACCAATAAGTCCAACATTCCTATCCAATCTACATAGTGAATGAGAGAGAATTGTATCCTTTTTGGATTGTTCAACTTAATTTTTTATCCTTTTCATTTTTACATTAGAAAGTTTCAAAAATAATTTCATATTGGAGAGCCTATTCAAGTATGTTGGGCCAAGTAAAATAAAAAAAATAACAAAATTGAATGGTAATTGAAAATTTGCCAAGCTAAAAGCCGAAACAAGGTGAAGTTGCAAATGCATTGCCAATTTTGTTTGTTAATCACTAAAGGAGGAATTTCCATGAGAATGCTGGTTTGCATACGCAAGTGAAGGCTCTTTCTTACTTTCTTAGATAAAATGAATCTACATGACATTAAATTATAGTTTTCTCTTAGATATAACATCCAAAGAAGAGAAACTCTCCCAAAATTTTTATTGATAACTCTTGTATAGGGAGCAAATATTCTTTGCCTGCCGTACTCCTTGTGTCTAAGCTCACCTAGCTCTAGATGATGTCTTACGACCTGAAAACACTGCGACGGTGAACTACTCGGCGGGTATGATGTTGAAAAACCCCTTCGACGGTCAAGTTAGCACCCTCCAAGAGAAAGAAGACAATGAATAGGTAGCTCTCAGATAATATGAAAATCAGACTTGTCGCATGGAGGTGCCGCACGATTTTTATAGTTTTTGCGGGCACTACTTTGCTTGTCCTTTCCTAGACACATGATGTACTACCCCCTCATTGTCTAACACGTGTGTATGCGACAATACAGCCAAACAACATCGACAAAACACCTTAATGATATTGACGCGTACGGATGGTGGGATTTCCTTCATGCACTTTGATTGGGCCATATGGCAACTCCTATCGAGATATACGTGGCTCGATCTGTCCTAGCCTCAATCTCGATTAACCTTCAGGGTTGAGCTTATTAACTAGCTTGGCTCGCCACACTTGGCTTACTCAAGCTTTGCCTGTTCGCTGAGGTAAACCCCGCCTGACCTTGGCGCACAGTAGGAGCACCTAGCTCGGTTGAAAGCATGACTATTTCGACTACCTTGGATCAGGACCTGAGCCTAACAACTAGCCCGGTCCAATTTCTAGATCTCGGGCCATCCCAATTGCATGATCTAAGGCCTCAGCCTAAACCACTTTTAGCTACACCAACTCGATCTCATAATCCAATGACATGGCCCAAGTCCTAAACTAGCTTGGCCCATTTTACTCGGCGCAAACTCACCTCTCAACTCTAAACAAATCGATTTGCCATAAGGTTTGTATCTTATTTATAGCGTACACATCCTAATCTGGCTAGCTAAACTGCTCGTTGTCTTAATTACATGTGAAAATTCTAAAATTTTTTGAGATATTGATTTGTGATTATGTTTCAATTTTTAAACAATAAATAATAATCTCAATCAAACAATCAAAGAGAAATCGAAAAAATGATTTAACGTGAAAAAACCACAATTGGAGCGCCTCCAATTGTGATAAAAAACCACGGGCTAAAGCCACAGAACAATTCACTAAGAAGACAAAAAGGAATTACACAAGTGTACTCTCAATTATCTTGCAAATCCAAGCCCGAATTAAACTGACCCCGATGTGCCTCTTCCACCACTGTCTTCACCTCGGAATTGTCTTGCCCAACGTTGAATTCACAACGATAGGCCACTCTAGAATCCACCAAAGCTTCAGGCTCAAGTTCTCTGAAATCCACCGAAGAACAACTCTCTCTTTTGTGAGTAAAAGAAAATAAATAAATCCCTTAATGATGTTGATATAAAGTTTATGGATTCATTGATCACATCTTAAATCATAAAGGAAACACTCATAAATCACCCTCCAATATAAAACACTTTGTTTTTTCTTTCTCTCTGAAAATCTGGATAGCTCAAACCCTAAAAACACCGAATGGCGCACTTTATAGAAAACAGGATCACGTAGACCGCTCGAGTGCACATTTCACCGTTCGAGCGGTCTGACTAAAGGCGGTGCGAAACATATAAGCTGACCGCTCGAGTAAAACTTTCACCGCTTGAGCAGTAAAACTTTCTTTTTAGAAGTTCAAATGCTCTGCAAAAGTACTGGATGCTCTCTTATTCATCGCTCGAGTGCACAAATGACCTCTTGAGCGGTCAAACAACTTCGACTACATTTTTTCTCAGCGAAGTGGCAAACATGAAAGGCTCTCAAGATCACAAACTTCTCTTCATAGACACAATTTGGGTTGTATTCGCATCTAAACACTTACATCCTTACTGAAACAAAAGAGCGAATAAATTTACAACTAAAAAGAGTTTTGTCAAACGGAATTGCTAGTTACAAAAACCTAACAACATGCTATGGCACCACAGAATGAGCCAAAGCATATGGGTTGAGGCATCTTCTCTAGGTCAGCACCCCATTGGCTCAGCCAAGTGATCCTCCACCAAATCATAATCCCCTTATGTCTTGTTCTCCATTCGGTAGCAAGTTATCTCCTATGTGATTCAAGGCTCTTCTATAAACATTAATGTTGCCTAGGCTAGGAGTAGGGCCAGGGAATTGCTACTAGAAAACCCACTTTACTCAGGGTCGCAGCAGGACTTGTAAGTTGTGGCATGGAGGTTAGAGTTAAGAGATTGTTAAGGTTGTTTGGCCCACCCCTTGGGGTAGCCTACCTTGACTAGAGTTAGAAAGAGAGGCTTTGACAAAGGCAATTGATACTTTGAAAAGCGTTTCACACTGGCACCGGAGCCCCTCTATGATGCAACTCCCAAGGTGTAATGCCTCCCTCTCAACTCTCATCCTACAAACCTCAAGGTATGATCCTAAGACACGAAACTAGTTGAGATACCTCCATCCTATGAAGCACGGATACTTCTAGAAGAGTGTCGTATCTGTAGCATTTTTGTATTAAAACACTAATACTCCTTAGATATTCAATGACATATATTCGATGCTTCCTACCTTGAGTAGGCCAAATATGTGCAAGTACCATAACTAATAATTATGTGACTAGACTTTTACCTTTTTCGATACCAAGTTAAATTGTTAACCACCATCTCATCTAGTCAGTTATATCCTCAACAAAAAGGCATTTGCATGACAATTAATACCCTTGTATTCTCTGTGTAATTTCTTAGTGATGTTTCATCATACATGTGGAATTATTTATTTATTTATTTATTGTTTGAAGTCTTTTCCTTTTCTGAACTTTTTACTCCTTTAGGATGTGTTGATGTTAGGTTTTGCACGGTAGCGAAGAGAAACAACTTGTATTTAGTGGCAAAATGGTTGATGCTAATAAAATCTTGTTTAAACTACAACTCTAACAAAGCCTAGTCCAATGTTTGGAGTCAGCAAATGGGAAAATAGGAAAATGCATCAATATATGATTTCTGCTTGGCACAAGGCTTGAAAGATAATGGAAATGAGAGTAATTATCAGGTTCTCACCTCTGTTCTATTCTCTGTTTCTTTTTAAAGAAACGAAAGAAAGAAACAAGAATATAATTTCTAGCTAGGACGCTAATTTATTGCACTCTTGAGAAGCTGCATCCTAGTCCATATGGTCACTTTAAAACAATTTGAAGAAGTCATGTATGCTATGCTTGGTTTCTATTGTCTTAGTCTGTTCTAAATGCATCGCAATTGGACATTTCCTTTTTATACCCTTATGTTTTCAGATGAAGCATCTGGTACTTCGGAGGAGGATTTGAGCTGTGGAGAAGCAGCTGAAAGTCGTGAATCTTCCGGTCCCCAATCAAGGGAACAGGAGCTGAAGGTAATGCTATTGCGCAAGTACAGTGGGTATCTTAGCAGTTTGAGAAAGGATTTCTTCAAAAAAAGAACGAAAGGGAAGCTATCAAAGGACGCAAGGATAGCGCTGCTTGACTGGTGGAACACACACTACAGATGGCCATACCCTACAGTAACTTCAAATATCATCTTACTTTCTTATTATTGTTTTTCTAGACATATGTGATACGTAATGTGATTGAGGAATGTGTTTAGATCCCAATAATTATGGTAAATTTAACAAAAAATTTAGCTCCTCCACACCACAGCTAGCGTGATGTGGTGCAATCCTCAAGATGGTTTTTGTTAGAGCACATACTCGTTGACAAAAGCCAATTTCACTCATTTCATTCATTCAACAAAATAAAAAATGTACTGTTGAAGTTCTTATAAATGGTTTAATGAGAGTACTTGATTTTAAAGTGGGATGAAGCTTCATTGCTCTTTCCTTTCATTCCTGAGATTTTCCTCCATAATTCTCTAAATACAAACAATAAATAATGGTTACAGGAAGAGGAAAAAATGAAATTGTCAGAAGTTACTGGACTAGACCAAAAGCAGATTAACAACTGGTTCGTAAACCAGAGAAAGAGGCATTGGAGACCATCTGAAGACATGAGGTTTGCACTCATGGAAGGTGTCAGTGGGGGCATTGGAGGGCCCGTGTACTTCGACAGTGCAGGAGAAGCTGGAAGTGTTGATAATTAAACTGGTAACTATGTTTATTTAGAGTACTATTCTCCTTTTCTTTTCATATTGACGTAGTTTCTGGAATATTCATACATATATATACAGTTACAAAAATCGTACGCCCTATTTGCTGTAAACATTGTCACACTTTCTGTTTTTCATTAATACCTTTCACATCCAATAACTTATAAACGGTTTTTCTCATTCATCAAACTGCCTAAAGCTGTTTAATGGTTTTCCTACTTCATCAAACCGTCCAAAAATTTAAATGTAAAATTGTAAACACATAGCGTTTTCTTTGTTTGTTCTTTCTTCTAATTTTCGTATGATTAGACTTTGGGTAGTAATTTTTGTCTGCTGGCATGTATAGTGTGCACCAGATATTATTTAAGCTGATATTTGTGGGATTTGAGAATTGGTGAAGAAATTCCCTAGAAATCAGCCTTTCATGCTAAAGTTTCTGCTTCCGACAAGTGTTTTGATGTTCTATGCTCAAATTACTGCTGTGATTAGGTATAGAATTATATGAAGGGGGTCTCATAGTGATAGGTCATTGATGATCAAAGATAGGGCTAGCCTCAAATTTTAGAGCCACTAAGCTAACTTTTAAGATGGGCTCTCCATATGTGATCACACACAAAAACTAAAATTGAGAGTAAAGGGTAAAATTTGGGGGCCCTAAAGGGCCACTTCGCCCGCCTATGCCGGCCTTGGTCAAAGACATCTTACTAAGTAATTGGGGGGAGAAAATGGTAGATGTGTAGGATGGTAGGTCTCTAATCTGTGTGCCTAGTAATGTTTATATAGAGGTACAATTGGAAAATGAATGCAAAAATGAAGAACGATATATAGAGGTGTTCATGATTGTTCCGCTACAACCTTCCATGGCGAATCACATCCCTTTGAAGGAAGATTGCTTCATAATAGGCACGAATTAACACTAACCAATGAAGCTTTTTTTTCGAAAATAATTTAAATATACTTATCCAAAACTTATATATACATCAAACAGACCAACTGGATTTGGTGCAACGAGGCAGCAACATGCATCTGGTCTAACCCACTTCGGCTAGTTCCTCCCATTCAGTACCGCTTTGGGCCCAAAACCAAGTCCAAGGATGGACTATATAAAAACCACCTTACTTTGACAAATAATTTCACAAGAATTTATTTACCATTTTTGTTTTTTCAAAGGGTTTGGATTTTTTTTTGTTAGCCATCTCAACTTGAGAGAGTGTTTGGGTTTGGTAGGTCGATTTTGGGGCCGATCTCAATCATATGAACCATTCACTTTTTAAGACAGGTCGATTTTGGGGCCGATCTCAATCATATGAACCATTCACTTTTTAAGACTGATGACGTAGAATATTTATGCAAAAAAGTAATATGATCAGATGTCGGTAGCTATATGTTTGAATTACATTTGTATTATAAAAAATAAATGACAAATTTTTAAATTATAATTGTCGTTCATTTTTTAAAACAAATGTGATTCAAACATATAACTATCGATATCTAATAATCTTAATTTTTTGCATGAATATTTACTCAATGAGTCATAAAAAATAAACGGTTCGATTCACTGAGGTTGGCCTTAAAATGAGTTTACCAAACTTGAATACTCTCTCAAGTTAAATATCTAATTTAAGAAAATCCAATCTCTTTTTGCAACTAATGTTTAATAGGGTGATCTTTAGAATCAATTTTTCATTCACTTCTTAATAAGGTTACAAATGAACAGAACCGTTTGTGAATATGTTCGAACTTGGCTCAATAAGGGCTCATTCGAACTCTCTTTTTTTTTTGGGCATTCAAGGTCGTTAAAATTTTAATAAATAAGTCCAAACATACTAAAACTTGGCTTGTTAGCTTGACTAATTAGCTGGCTCGTTTAACATTTATTATTTATATATTAAATAATATAAAAATATGTATAAAAAATAAAATAAATATTTATTTATATATTTAAAAAAATATAAATGTACATAACAGCTAACTATAGACAATACATTTACATAATCGGAAAAATTACTCATAAATCCCATTTTGGGGAATGTTAGTCCATTTAGTCCTACATGTTTTCTTATAAACCAAATAGTCTTTTTTGTTTTTGGTAGGTGTTATTGATTTGGTTTAGTGATATTAGAGTTTACTTGTATGCCCTTTGGTTAAGATTTGATTTTGATGTTTGTTTGGATTGTAGGTAAGGTGTGGGGTAACATTTCTATATTTTTTAGGGATTTGGTGGAGTGATTGGGGGGATTGTTGATGTTACTAAAGTGGTGTGTCGTTATTGATGTTCAATAATTTGTGATTCTCTAAAGAGGGTGTGTTGGGTGGAATTTGGGGATGCTGCTTTGCAGGGTGCGCAGCAGCATCTGCTGTGCGGCGAAATGGGCCCATTTCGGGGTCTATTTTGATAATCCGAACTGTTCATATTTTAGAATACATCAAGTAGAACATGCCTGCAAAAAATCAAGTTAATCGGCTATCGTTTACCTATTCATCCACTCACATTTATATTCATTTTAATACTTTAAATTACAATTATTATTTATTTTTGTAGATAGAAATGTGAGTGGATGAATGGGTAAACGATATCCGATTAACTTGATTTTTTGCAGGCATGTTATACTTGATGTATTCTAAAATGTGAACGGTTCAGATTATCAAAATGGGCCCATTTTCCCGCACAGCAGCATCCCCAATCCTGTGCTGGGTGTACGTTTTTGGTAGTGTTCTTCTTGGGGTTTAGAGCGAGAGGGGCTGTGCGATTTTTATCAGTTTTTTTTTTTTCAAATATGTTTTATGATGATGTGTTCTTTATTGTTGTTTGCAATTTGCTACTGATGTTTGCGATGGAAACTCACACAGTTTGTCATCATATTTGCAGTGGCAGCCTTGTACGAAATTGGGTTTATGTTGCTTTCAATTATTGGGGACCATTTTTACGAAAGTTATTTTGGGTTCTGTTAAATGCAATGTTACTTGCCAATTGATATGTTGGAGGCAAAATAAAAAAACATCACATTTCTGTGGCGTTGTACCATTAACAATGTATAGTTTTAGCGCCACTGCTGTATATGTTATGTTTTGAGATGGTCAAATAATGTAGTTGTTTGAAATCTTTATTGTGTGTGTATGTGTGAGAGAGAGAGTAATGTAATTTTGAGATGGTCAAATAATCTAGTTGTTTGAAATGTTTAGTGTGTGTGTGTGTGTGTGTGTGTGTGTGAGAGAGAGAGAGAGAGAGAGAGAGAGAGAGAGAGAGAGAGAGAGAGAGTGTAATGTGATTTTGGGGTGTGTGGATGTTAGTGAGTATAAGCGTGAGAACTCCACGTGGAGTGTGTTGATGTTTGAAAAATCTAGAAATCTCCTAGATGTTGATTTGTGATTATGTATCAATTTTAAGGTTTGTCATCATATTTGCAGTGGCAGCCTTGTACGAAATTGGGTTTATGTTGCTTTCAATTATTGGGGACCATTTTTACGAAAGTTATTTTGGGTTCTGTTAAATGCAATGTTACTTGCCAATTGATATGTTGGAGGCAAAATAAAAAAACATCACATTTCTGTGGCGTTGTACCATTAACAATGTATAGTTTTAGCGCCACTGCTGTATATGTTATGTTCTGAGATGGTCAAATAATGTAGTTGTTTGAAATCTTTATTGTGTGTGTATGTGTGAGAGAGTGAGTAATGTAATTTTGAGATGGTCAAATAATCTAGTTGTTTGAAATGTTTAGTGTGTGTGTGTGTGAGAGAGAGAGAGAGAGAGAGAGTGTGTGTGTGTAATGTGATTTTGGGGTGTGTGGATGTTAGTGAGTATAAGCGTGAGAACTCCACGTGGAGTGTGTTGATGTTTGAAAAATCTAGAAATCTCCTAGATGTTGATTTGTGATTATGTATCAATTTTAAGCAGTATATAACAACCCTAATCAAACAATCAAGATAAATGGACACAACGATTTTACGTGAAAAAATCACAATTGGACACCTCCAATTGTGATAAAAAAAACCACGGGCAACAGCCGCAAAACAATCCACTAAGAAGATATAAAGGAATTACACAGGTATACTCTCAATTACCTAGCGAATCCACGCCCGAATTGAACCAACCTCTATGTGCCTCTTCCAATCCCGTCTTTACCTCGGAATTGTCTTGACGATGAGTCACTCCAGAATCCACCAAAGCTTCAGGCTCGAATTCTTCAGAATCCACCGAAGAACAACTCTCTCTTTTGTGTAGAACAAACAAATAATCCTTTGATGTATACACTTTAAACCATGAGTTGAATACTCAATCAAAACATCAAAGAAAACTAGCAAAATATCTCCAGATATAGACCCTAGAACCCAAGAAGAAGATCTGGAGAAGTTATCCTAGATTTGGACTAAAACACATATTTATAGAAAACTGTCCCGCGATCTCCGCTCGAGCGTCATATTGGCTGCTAGAGCGGGAAAAAACAACATCCAGTATTTTTGCAGGCGAACGAACTTTTGAAACCCAATATTCTCCGCTCGAGCGGGGGAATGTCCGCTCGAGCGGACAGACAACTTTGAATGCATTTTTACATTTTGCTTCCGGGGCGCTGCCCCTCGACCCTGCCGTGGCGCTGCCTTGGACCCGCCAAGGGGCGCTGTCCCTTGGACTCCCGCGAGCTGACCGGGCAACTCAATCCCCACATAATCAGCGAAGTGGCAATCTTGAAAGTATTAATACCACAAACTTCTCTGCAAGGCACAATTCGGGTTGGATTTGCATCTAAACACTCATAGCCTTACTGAAATAAAAAAGTGCGAAAACAAATACAACTTAAAGGAGTTTTGTCAAACGGGGTTGCCAATAATAAAAACCCAACAATCTCCCCCTTTGGCAATGCCGTGACAAAACACACTTAACAAATAAAATCTTAATCACCCCAACCCATTACAGCCAACAAAAGCCAACTTCTTTCTCAAGGTCATGATCTGCAAAACAGTTATTAGTGCCACAATCTCCAAAACAACTATTAGTCCCACAAGAGTATAGGAAAAAACAATAAACATAAGACAAGATTACCTTGAAGCATGAGATAGAAAACATGAATAAATGCGACTTGGAGATTTTAAGAACATGTAGCATGGATAGATGGATAGATGAAAACTAAGACATATGCACCCAACTCATGACATGAATACATGAAATCCTAAGACACATGGAAAACAATCTTCTCCTCCTTTTTGTCACGAATTGACAAATGAAGCTCAATAAACTAAACCAAGATCAGAAACCACACAAGCAATGATATGACGATGTAAATACCAGGAACATGCAAGAAGGCAAACAGTGCATAGCAACATGCAAAACAACTATACCCAATCTCCCTTACCAAACAAATCAAAGTGTTCATGCTAACAAACTCTTGTAATGATAAACCAAACTCGCCTTCACTAAAAACAATGAACAAGAAGAAAAACAACAAAAGTAATATGGTGGAGCAAGCAAGAAATCTCAGATTTGTACCTAAAAACACACAAGATTATCCAAGAAGCACAATTACTAGTAAACACAATGTGCACAGTCTGTAGAAGATTCCTCATGAAAGAAAGTGATGCATTATGTGAAAAGCATAGATCCCATGATAAAAGTGTGTGTATGACTCTTGGAGTTCGACAAACACTAGATTCAATCCTAGTAGTGATATGAAAGCTGGACTTCCGACTAGAGAATCTAAGCACAACAAAGGCAAGTCAAACCACTAGGAATCAAGGGGTATTTGGTGAGTAAAAGCGGAGGCTCCCCCTCAATTAATGAATTTTTAATTTTTTTTCTCTATTTTTTTCACATCATTTTCTTTTCTTTCTTTTGTACATTTTTTTTTCCTTTCTTTTGCACATCTTTTCTTTTCTTTCTTTTGCACACTCATTGGTGGCTAACACGCTCAAGAGTATGGAAACCGAACCAGAGAAGCATGGATATAATAAGGATGGCCTGGTTGGTGACTCTGAGGTAGTCTTTTCCTCATGCCTGGACTACAAAGAATAGAGGGGAAAGCCGTAGAGATGCAAAAAGATGGAAGGTGGTTAAGAGACTCAACATCACCCATGATATGCTAGTATAGGTCAATTCCTTTAGAAAAGAAAAAGATACAATGCCAGAAGTCCATAGAGAAAAAATAATCACTAAGGCGGAAGACTTCAAAATTTGTTAATCCAAGAATGTATACAGAATGAGACATACTAATAAAAAACTCACACTCCAAAATGAGTAATGACCACAGAAAGCACACACATCTTAACAGGTAATGAATATTCTTATCAATTCCAATATGCACCAAGGATCACTCAAAAATTTTAAGCTTGCAAAACCATACTAAGAAAATTTTTTTGGGATTTTTTTTTTTTAATTTTTTATTTTCATTTTCTAAACAAAGCAAGACATAAATACGAACATGCACACATTTTTTTCTCATTAAAAAAAACACACAGAAACCTAAAAACTAAAACAAATAAACAAATTAACACAAGTCAAGTTTTCTGACCCAAACCGCTTTAGTATAAACAAAGTTGTGAGCATTACGGTTCTTGGGTGGTGTCTTGACGTTGTGGTTCCCTTTGCTTTTAATGGGAACCCATCTCGACTTGGTTTCCAACTTCCTATTTTTAGGTCTAGGCAAATACACTCTCCCATGCAACTTATAACAATAAGGGCGAATATGACCATGCATACCACAATGATGACAAATAAAAACAGGGTATACCTTCTTTTCTTTTACCTTACCAACTTTAGGAAGTTTGAGGAGTCCATCCTTATGTTGAATTTTTTGTTCCCCCTTTCCTTGAGTTCTTGTATCATGAGATGTAGATGCACTCTGTTTTTGCTCTTTGTTATCACCAAAGCCAATGCCACTTTTGTCACAACACATTTGTTGAGACCCAGTGATATCCTCCAAAGTCTTTGATCCTTTATTCCAAAGACCAATGGTAGCTATAGCACACTTGAGCTCTTCCTCTTTCTTGATCATTAGTTCTTCCAAAGCAACTTAAGACCTCTCGAGAGTGTCAATTTTTTCTTCATATGTTGCATAGATTTGTTATAGCTCATTCATCTCTGTCTCACAAGTCAAGAGTTTTTCACAAAGAGCTTGTCGATCATTAGAAATCTTAAGGGCATCATTCCTAGCCTCGGAAATCTCTTTCTTTAATTTGACATTCTCACTTTCACATGCTTTGAGTTTCGTAGTGAGTTTGTCATTTAATTTGGATAAGTTAAGAGATTCCTTATACAACTTTTCATGAGCTTGCTTAAGCTCTTCATCATCACTTCCCGAGGATTCATCATCAGTGGCATTCTCAACCGGCCTCTTCGGATACTCTGTTCGTCCTTCAGTTTTAGAAGCCGCCATGAAAGTAAGGAATTGTTTATGTCCCTCTTCACCTTGATTTTCATTGTCACTTTCATCTTTATCAGATTCTGATTCATCATCCCAAGTGATAGCGAGGGCTTTCTTCTTCCTCAAACAAGTGGGGCATTCTGAAGCAAAGTGGCTAAATCCTTGGCATTCATAGCATTGGACTCTTTCAGAGTTCCCTTGTATCTTTCCTTTCTCCTTCTTGGCTATAGAATTAATTTTGAGTTTATCTTTGCCTTTGGATTTATGAGTATGAGTAGAGTCCAAAAGATTAGGATTCTTTTTCAAAAAATATTTTTTAAATTGTTTTACAAAAGCATACCATCCTCATCAGAATCCTCTCTAACTTTATGAGCACTACTAAACGCAATATCTTTTTGTTTCTTTTTGAAATTCCTATGTGCCTTATAAGTTTGGAGATTTCCAACCAACTGATCTAGTTTGAGGTTGTCAACATCTTGAACCTCCTCAATAGTCGTAACTTTTGGTTGGAACCGATCGGGTAAGGATCTCAAAATTTTTTCCACAACTTTGGATTCTGATATTTTTTCACCTAAATTGAAGCTGAAATTTACAATGTCACTCAACTTTGCATAAAATTCATCAAAGGTCTCACTATCTTTCATTGAAAGGTTTTCGAAACTAGACGTGAGCCTTTGAAGTTTTGATCGTTTAACAGAAGGAGTGCCCTCATGAATAGTTTGTAAGATATCCCAAGCCTCTTTTGCGACTTCACAATTACAAATTCGACTAAACTCTTCAGGCGTGGCAGCGCAAAAGAGAGAATTGATAGCTTTACTATTCCAGCTACTA